TTTATCAGAGAACATATTATTGGTCGTGAAAACTTCCTCTCCACTACCCGTCTTGAAGATGTAATGGGAAGGTTCAATGCAGCTGTTCGTGCCAAAAAACTCATCATCCTCAATGAATGTGATATGACAGGTAAGGAATGGCATGGAGCAAATAACTGACTTAAGAGTTTAATCACTGGGCCTTACATCTCTATTGAGGAAAAAGGAATAGATGTGAAGATTATTGATGACTTTGCTGGCTACATGATCCTAAGTAATCATGCTATGCCAATCCGCATAGAAATGGGAGATGAAAGATTTGTAGCCCTCAATGTATCAGCCAAATATAAAAACAATCAAGAATACTTCAGTTCTCTAGTAAAAGTATTAGAAATCCAGATACAGCCAGTTCCTTTATGTCCTATTTACTTAGCCGAGACTTAACTATCTTCAATCCCCGATCTATTTCTGATACTCAAATGAAACAGGAGCTAATCAAAGCAAGTATTCCAAATCCCCAGCGTTTCATACAATATTACCTTGAAATGATGTGCCCCAACAATTGTGATACACTTGAAATCCCTTGTACAAATTTCCATAGCACTTACCAGAATTGGTGCAGTGAGAAGGGTGAAAACAAAACACTTAGTGATAATAAGTTTGGTATGGAGATTAAGCAATTCATTCCTAAAACTCGACCAAGACGTTCAGGTGCTTGAATAAACTATTACATACTAGATAAAGCAAAAATCGAAAAGAATTTTAGTAGAGTAATCCAGGAGACACAAGACATACAGAATGTACAGGTAGATCAAGAGGAAGTGGAGCTAGTTGTTGAGAAACTTGTTGAAGAAAAACCTACTAAAGAACAACCAGTTTCCAAAAAGACTCCACCACCAGTACCATCCAAGCCCGATTGCTTGAAGGTAAAACCAGCACCTGTCATCAATAAGGACCCTATTCCTGAAGAACCTCCAGCTCCCATAGAGTCAGACACTGATGAAATTATAGACAGTTTCTCAGACTGTTATCTATCTGATGAGGAACCTGATCAAGAAGATGAGCCGCCTGCTGAGGAACCTGCATTTGAAG